ACGGCTCTGTCGACCCAGGCCGGAGGCCCCTGGCACGGGGAAGGGGGCAGGGGGCTGGGCAGCCCTGGGGGTTTGCACCTCGGCCATGTCAGACCTGAGCCCACGCTGGGCTGCCCAGGAGCGCATGAACAGCTGCGCTTGGGAAGGGCTCGCCGAGCTCTCGCAGCACGTCCATCACGGAGGTATGCTTATTTTGGCTGGAGGGAGAAACACAGTCCTGGGCATGTTCAAATACCTGCAATTCTTGGGCCAGAGTCAAAGCCGGACCCATTCCTTCCCCCAGCTCCGCTCTGGTGCCAGGGCAGGCAGCGATCTGAAAGCCAGTTAGCAGCTAAACCAGCTTTCCATTTAATGCGATTTTTGCAAAATGCCCATGAGGAGACTAGTTACAGACAGGCAACAGGAAAAATACCCAAAGAGGGTTTTTTCCCTGTGCAGGGCTCAAAAAAGACCCATTAAATTCAATAAACCCACACTGAATTGTAACACAAATGATTGCACTGGTGGGACTCCTCTTTCGTTTGCACTGGGGCAAACTCCAAGTGACCTCGCTTCAGTAAGGAGAAGGATGCTGGCAGGTGGGGGAAGCCGAATCCAGCCTATGCCTTTGAGACTTGCTTTTAAAAATGCCTCTGCTGCAAAACTGCAAGCGCGCTTCTCCTGGAGTAAGTGGGGGCTTGCACTGTTCACAGCAAGCGCGGGGCTGAAAGGCAAAGGGAGCTGAGGCAGTGAGGGATCGAGCTCCTCAGACTCTTCCGTCTCCTCCCAGCTCAGAAGCCGCACGCGACACGAGTTCCCTCTTGTGGGCAAAAAACCCCATATCGCATTTGAGCTTCACAGAATCACAGAAAATTTGGGTGGGAAGGGAGCTCCGGAGGTCACATCTAGTCCAACCCCTTGCTCAGAGCAGGACCAGCCCCAAGGCTTTGTCTAGCTGGGGCTTAAACACCTGCAAGGTTGGAGACTCCACCACCTCTCTGGGTGACCTGTTCTGGTGCTTCACCGCCCTCCTAGTGAGGAAGTTTTTCCTAATATCCAACCTCAACTTCCCTTGCTGCAGCTTGAGCCCATTGCTCCTTGTCCTGCCATCTGCCCCCACTGGGAACAGCCCAGCTCCATCCTCTTTGCAGCCCCCCTGCGGGGAGGTGAAGGCTGCTATTCAACCCCCTTGGTCTCTCTCTTCTCTAGACTCAATAACCCCAGCTCCCTCAGCCTCTCCTCATAAGCCACGTGCCCCTAACCATTCATCCCGCTGGTCCCTGCCGTACAGGGAGGTATTTGATCATCATTCATGCTACTTCTACAGGACGCGTTCAAACAAGCCCTCAGGTCCCCGGGCAGATGGTGGCCATCTCTAGGGCCTCTGGGGGAGCCCCAACCAAGATCAGGGTCAGGAAAACAGGACTGGAGGCCGGCAGCACAAAGGGTGGGGTTTTAAGAGGTACCTCTGTGCCCACAGATGCAGGTGGGGGCCTAGTAGGGATCTCCAAAGCACAGAGCTACCTCCCAGTGGGAGATGAGGGCCAGCTCTGAGGAAGGACTAAGCACTGCAGGGCTAAATGTGCGCGCACCGGGCCCCAGAAGGGACTCCAGCCCCCTGCACATATTGGCCTGGTGGCTACAGCAGTTCCCAGGAGGGGGAGAACCATGCTCCCGTCCCTCCTTGCTGGAAGGGAACAGGGCCATGTCCCCCAGCTCTGCAGAGACGACGGGTGGCTGCCTGGGTGCAGGAGGGGCCTTGCTGTCCCCAGCCCGATGACCTTGGGCTTCACCACTCAGGACAGCAACTTTCCCCCCTTGGCCCGCGCTTCCGAAAGCGCTGGCTGCACTGTTTCAACACCTACAAGCACGTGGCATCCTTGCACTTTACTACTGGGGCACGTTTCATCAGGTGCTGGGCTGCGGGGACAGCCGTGTCAGCATAGCTGGGCCAGCAGAGCCCTCTAGCGGGGACGCCGTGCATCCCCGCATCCTCACCCGCGGAGCACCGGGGCTGAGGTTTGCAGGTCTGAGGTCAAGCATCGTCAAGACCGTGCCCACCTCGCAGCGGCAGGGGAAGGGGTCCTACATGCTGCCACCTACATGACTACCCGCAGCAGTCGCAGTGGAATAGGAGAGATCCGAGACGGTCGTACACACCTGCTCCCAAACCCCTTTCTTCAAACCGGATTCCCCTGACCAGTCTAATTATAATGTCTCGTGTAAAACAGACACCGGCTGCTTTGTCTTTGGACCGGACTGGCGTTTGCGTTGTGCTCCTCGGCCCCCTCTTTACGCTGGAGGAGGTGTCGTGGGATTTCCTTGCTGCTAAAAGGGATGCAGCATTGCGATGACGGGCTGTATAGGACGGGGATGATCCTGCCTCAGGGCAGGGCTTAGACTAGATGTGACCTCTGCGGGTCCCTTGCAGCTCGACTTCTCCGGGAGTCTAGGAGTCATCTTCTCTCCCCAGGGATGGCTGGACTTTCTCTGCCAATTTAACTCGGACCCCTGTTCATCACCATACATTTAGAGAGAGGATTTCTTGAGGAGCTCTCCACCTCACCTGTCGCCGTTACTTAGCTGGGACTAAAAGATGCTACTGGTAAGCCTCCACACAATACTACTACACTACACACTTGTCTGCTTTCCTAAAAAAGGAGAGGAAAGTCCATAAGGGCACCTGGCCAATTTTTATCAGCTTGGAAAACCCTATAAAATCTCTGCTAAAACTATTTTCTGGTAACAGACTTACCCAACATTGCAGAAGTGATGACGTTTACGGTTACAACACCCAGGCGAAAAGATCAATATGAGAATAGGGCTGAGATCTTCCTAAGCAGATAGCGAGGGGTTTTCTTCCATCTGCAATCTTAGCAGATCTTTAATATCCTCTGGTTATTTTGTTGAGCCCATTTAAGGGTCATGCAGAGAAACGTACTCCCGGCCGGGTCACGCTTCTCAGTCTGAACTCGCACAGAAATAATGTAGTTGGAGACAGCAAGGGATCAAAATATACTTTGTAGACCAAAGAGCGGGGGTTTCAGGTTCGATCCCCAGCTGAGCTAAATGAACTGGGGGCCCTTCCTTCCAGCCTTACTTCTCCATGAAACCCGACGTCTGCCTCCTCGTCCTAAACTCTGGTCCAACTAATGTCACGAAATCCAAGGGGCTCACTAAAGAGGACCCGGCCTTCTGGAAGCCGTCTCCCCACCCAAACTTCTCCCCTGCAAATTTCTACGGACTTTGCAGCCGCTCAAAAAAATCGTTGTACGGTACTACCTCTCTCCAATACAAGTTTCCTTGTGTTTCTTAAAAGAACGGGTTTTTTCACGATCCGTGGTCTGCAGGAATTTTTCATATTAAAAGCTAACGATAACCTACAACGTTACATTTAAGCAAAAAGGAAGTCAACCTTTCCAAGTCACAGAACAAAGTGGTTATGGCGGGGTGGGAAAGCACATTAAAAGTATAACATTTACTCTCATTTATATCCTCTTCTATGAAATGTCCTTAAAAGGATTTTTCTACAAATTTCATCCCCTAAGTCACTTTTTTACAGCAAGAACTCTCATTTCCTTTTCATTGCGTAATTGTAACAGGCATCTGGGACTATTAAAACGTCCCTCCTACTGTTAACGGGCATCATATAGCTGGGTGCACTTTGATGCACTGACGCACCCTCCCCTCCAGCCAGACCTTTTATACACAAAACAGCATTAACCACAGTAAAGAGAGGCCATGAGGTGGTTAGCCAGGTTAGCCACAAGCCAGGCAGGGCGGGGTCACACCTTAGAGACTAACTGGGTCAGAAAGGTACGAGCTTTCCTCGGTAAACAGGATGCCTCAGTATGAGACGCGCAATATACTGGGTTTAACCAGTTTCCATCTCCTTGTAAAATGGCATGTAGATGGCTCCCTACACAAGCGAAGGTACGAACACCGTACATCGTACGGGTTTCAGCCTGCACGCTTAACAAGAACCCGACTCAAACAAGACAACCCACAGAAATCAGTTGAACTAATGCACACGGCTAACGACTCAAATGCACAAGCACTCGCAGAAATTTCCAAGTGAGCAGAATCGGTTTAGTTTTCTGTGACATCTATACGTGGGCACCGCGAAATGGAAAAAATCAGCATTCGGGAGAATGGAAAGGGAGGAGAAGGGTAGGCAGTGTTTAAGGTGCTCCCCGGAGCACGGTGTCACGCACACAGCACTGCCTAAACTGGACTTTAAACTGCCCTTGAAAGCACAGGCAGGAGCGGAGCAGCGACGGAAGACACGACTTGTTCTTCCGCGCGGATCCTGCCAGCCGCCTCGCTGCGCCAGTGAAATAGGGTCTTTGCAGCTGAAGCTCAAGTGCTCCAGGACTTCTCAGAAGCCAGCTCGCTTGGCTGCGCTTTCGCATGTGATCCTGCAATCCTGCCACCCGGACTTTGCTGTCGGCTCTGTCAAAGGGACGCGGGGGGGGGGAGAGAAAGGAGCCGAGCTGCTAGGAACGGATGGGCGCCGCTACCTCGGTGCTGCAGGGCTAGCCACAGCAAGAAGCGGCTGGGTCCGGGTTTGGTTTTGTTCAGACAGCTTTGTCTTCACTTGAAAGCGAAGCGCTCGGCTGCCCGCGCCGCGCGAGACAACGAGACAGGCGCTGCGTGGGGTCGCCAGGGCTGTCGGTGCCCTCCTTGCTCTCTGAAGGATTTCCCGGCGCTGGGAGGAAGGGGCCGTTTTCAAGGTCACTTCCAGGCCATGCCTCCCAGCGAAAGGATCTTTGTTACTGGGGAGACCCGGGGAAGGGCCCAGGTCCCAACGCCTCCCTCGCTGCCTATTATAAGGGTGTTTCGGGTGCACCTGGAAAGAGGCGGGATTGCGGGGCAGCGGAGCCGGCGACACGAGGCTCCTGGCAGAAAGCGGCAAGCAAGTGCCGGTGCTGTCATGCGAAACCTGTGCGTCCCGCAGCCCGTGCTCCCCCCTGCGGGGCTGTGCATGCAGACCGCGGGGCCGGGGCCGGGGCTGTACTCACGACGAGCGGCAGGGAGCAGACGGCGAAGAGCGCGGCCATGAGCGCCAGCAGCACCACGTGGTCGAGCTCGCGGAGGCCGGGGCCGGGGCCGGGGCCGGG